GTCCTTTTCCATCAAAATTTTCATGCAAGTAAAATTCTGTTTTTAACCTTATTACCTACATGCGCTAAAATTCCATCTCTGGTCATCAAAAATTCTTTTCCGTTAAAATTAAATTTGCCTTTACCTTTGATTTCACAAATTCACGTTGACTTTCAAAAACCTTTTTCCTCCAAATCTTAAATCAACTCACGTGCCAGGGCGAAAGCAGCAAGCTGAAAGTATAATGGAGGCAGAAACGCGTTGGAAAATTGTAAAAGAAATTTGTCTTAATGCACTCAACAATTTTGGGCAAACGGAAATGAGCCATGTCCTTTTTAAATGGGAGTGAGTGGAAAATCAGGGTGGATGCGCTGATTAATGTAATGCCACGGCGATGCAATTCAAATAATTCAAACAGAAAATGCATTAAATCTATTAGAATTCCTCTTTCATCAGCCAGCCGTAATGCCGTAAACACGATTTACTCGGATTTACAAGAAATCAAATTTTATCAAAGCGAGAAAATTGATTTATCAAGCCAAGAAGTGAATAGTCACTTAGTGTTGCAAATGTGATAAACGGCCACTGAACCAGAAGACATCTCTCCCTCGTAAATATGACTGTCAAGTGGCAAGTGGCAGTCAATAAGTACTGACGTCTGGTGTGCAGTTTTATATTTATGTACATATTTAGCTTGACTTCCTTAAATGTATTAAAAAAACGATTTTTTTACATTTTGAATTACAAAGTGAGTAGACACCCATGGCGTATGAGTAATATTTTTAAACACTTCAGATATCTTTAGATAATTCAGGTATTAACTATAATATTTAAAATTTATGATTATATTATTGTTGTATTAATTCGATTTACTTGAGGGTATGGATTTATACAATGAAATAAAAATTATTTGGGAAGTATGTGCCGACACTGCGTATGAGTAATATTTCTTGATAGTTTCGGTGACCTTTGATTTATTCCTTACCTAAATATCTTGTTGTTTTTTTCTTAACATTTTTTCAAAGAATAAATATATGTAAACATATATAATGGTTGAAAAACGACTTACTTACCTACTCGTATTGGCTTTTTTAGCTACCATTCCAACCATCTCGGCTTACAACTTTGCATCATTCGTTCTCATTTGGCCTGAGTAGATAGATGAATGAATTGAATGGAGAGTTGTGCTCCTTCCTGCTCTTGGCTGCCTGTTGGCCTGGTCTACATGGCGGCCTGTTAAAGCGGATTTGGCTCCGATGCAGCCCAGGCTGCCCCTTTTGGGCCCCAGGCCTCGCTTGGTGCAGTCGGAATGGCCGACTCGATGGCGTCAACAGCTTACATTATTTATTTTGTTTTATTTTCCAGCTGCTTTTAGTCTGGAGCCCTGAACGTGTGGGTGGGGACGTCGACCCAGAATGATGATAGATCAAGTATTTATAGAATGTCCTTTTGCATTTCTTTTGTTATTGATTTTTTCTTAAAGCTTGGCTTTCGTTTTATTTAAGTTTTAAACTGCATTTTAAATTTATATTTATACAAAAGCTGGCAGACTTGAGTTTTTTAAGATTGCTTCGATTGTCAAGGGATGACACTAGAAGTGGAAACTGGCATGGGGATCCCATTTAATAAAGGACCGCAGAAATAAGCTTAAGCCCCCTCTTGTAACGTTTTTAGGGTTGGGGTCCACCACCCGTCGCTGTGTTGTCATTTTGGAAAATTTTTTTCCACTTCAGAATCTGATGGAACGCGAACCTCACTTTTCTGTTCTTTAGTTGTTTTCGTTTTTTTTTTACTGTCAAGCAGGATATTACACCTCGGATTTTGCCGCTGTCTTTCACTTTCGCCTGCTGTGACATATTTCTATAGCCATTTTCCTCCTTTACCCGCTGCGTGATAAGTTTCATTCCAGCCAGACACATTTTTTGTGGCTTATTCTCCTTCCGTTGTATCTTTCGTTTTTTTTCTTTATAATCGTTTTTTATTTAATCTTATAAACAATGTCAGCGTGTGTGCTCTTCTCAAATTGTTGCATATATCATCCCCCGGGCGGTTTATTGTTTTAATATGTTAAATTGTGAGATTCCTAAAATTTACGTTCTTTAATATGGAGACAAGTTATGAGACAGTTTTTGTATAAAATATAAAATAATTATGCAGAATGTGATGAAAGTAAGAATACAGGCACGTGTAATTGAGCAACTCCTTTAATTGGGATCCTTCTGACTTCCCAACTAATTTTCATACATTTATCAAGCATTTTTTTGTGTGGCCCTCTGGCGAATGTAATTTGTATTCCGATGCTGAATGCTTTCTCCTGCGAAAGTCGTTGATTTTTTCACTGAACATCCGGCGGGTGAATAAGTATTAGCACCCAAGCCCAAAACCAAATTAGCCGTTTTCTAATAGAGATACGAGATACATTTGGGTAGGGCTCTGTTTGCTTTGGGTCTGTCTGTGCTGATAAAAGCACAAAAGATACTGCCAGGGGCTACTGGAAAGACCCCTTCCGTGCCTCACATACGGTGGCATATAACTCACCGTTGATTTTCAACCGGAATTCTCTCGTTTGTGTGGTTTTTTTTGTTATTGTTTGGGTTAGCCCACGCTTTGTTTGTAGTTATGTTCTACGTGCGGTTAATCGCAGATGAGCAGCTCCGTTCCTTGTACTCATAATGAGGCCAATTAGGCTGGAGGCAAAAACTAAATGCCGTGTGCAGTTTGTGTAATGGCCCGCCTAACTATGCGTAATATTCAAGACTGCGTTCCCCCCTCAGACAACATCCACACTCCCTCGCAATTACGGATAGGCAGGCTTCCTCAAATCTCCCGGCGGTAGTCCCGGAAACCCTTCATATTGGCGTTCGCAGCTTTAAGTTCAACTCCCATCAGCAGTCGAATGTATCTCGGGCTGTTTGTCAGTAATTTGATGCTTGGATTATGCTGATGCTTCCCAGACTTGCTGGCGACCTCCTGCAATTGGCAATGCGCCATTTTATGGCCACATTTGGATCGGAACTTTTCACTAGCGAATGCAATTTGAATGGCCAGAGTTGCCTCAAGTTTCATTTTACGTCTTATGACTTGTCTTGGACCGAATGTTGATCCCTTTTTCTGTAACTTAAAAATAGCTAGGATGTCGTTTAGTCAAAGTTTTTTTTATGGTAGCAATATTGGTTGATTGGCATTATTGTGGAATTTTTATATTCCAATATTCATGGAATATATTTTTTATGCATTCACTTCAGAAACTTAAGAGGGCCAATAATGTAATAAACTTTAATATTCATAAGATATTAATTCAGTATCATCATTTTTAGACTTAAAAATTATCAATCGTTGACCATTTATATCTTATTATCTTGATATTCTCTATACATTTTTTTTTAAGGAGGATAAGCGCGTTTTGGCTTACAAAAATGGGGAAAACTATCTACACCGCATTTAAAAACTATTCAGCATACAAAACAGGATGGGAAAACAAAAATAAAGGTTGCAGCTATTTGAATTAAATGTGTAATTAAAAGTAGATTTAGATGCTTTTGAAATGAGGCATTATTTGGATTTTCATATTAATATATCCACATTTCCAATATATATAAGTATGTACGTACAATGTTCATATAACCTTATTTTTTTTAACATTTCTGATTATTAAAATATTTTAACAATCTATGAGGATAAAAATAAGCTTAATAGTTAGTATATATTGCATAAATATTTTTACTTTGTTTTTGTTTTAAAGTAAAATACTTACGTTAGCTTAGTAGCCTCTATTTGAAAAGCTAAACTGAATTTAAAACTTTATTTTAATCCCACCATCCAACCCACTTACGTGATAAAAGATTTCCGCACATACAGTGACAATGCGTTTCGTTGGATATTTGCACGGAAATCGCCAGAGAGCATGTGAAATATTTATGGAGGGGCATTGTGGATGTCATGATGATTAGTTGCATATTCTCTTAACCCACCAGTACCAGCTCCTAGAATCCTAGAAGTTTCTAGCTCCTAGCTCGCAGTTTCCAGCTTTTGAGGCTCTGAGCCCGATTTGGAGCGAGCAAATATTTAATTTAAGAACATTTTCTTGCGTTATCCTCGACCATGGGACGTGGTGTGGTGTGGCGTGTCCCGTCCCGTCCTGTCCTGTCCAGTGCCAGGGCTGTCCTGTCCTGTCTTTGGAAATCTCAGTTGAATTCCCATTCCTTTGCAGCTCCCGCTTTCTTTCCTCGCTCCCTCTGTTGTTTTTTCCTTCGATTGCAGCTGCAGAAGCGTCCACAGAGCTGAGGCTCATACTCGTATTAGCCCAAGTCAAACAATGGCATTGGCAAACCGAAGAGCAGCGCCAAATTGCAACGTGCAGAACCCAACAGAAGGCTGAGGATGGGGCGGACTTGGCAGATGGGGCGACTGGGGCAAATGTTGTTAAGAAAATGCACCAGACAGAAAATCGATGAAAAAAAGTTAGCCACTTGCCTCTGTTCTCCTCTGCTTGGTTCTGTTTATTTGTTTATTTTTATAGTTCCCTTTTTTTTGTTTTATATTTTTTTCCTTTGTGGAGGAGGAGGCACTCTAAATCCTTTGTGTGGCAGATTAACACGTGCAAGCTCTCGGGGCTATTGGAAAAAATAAAGATAAGTCAGAAGGTCACTTGCCACCGGAATGTATACAAATTGGAATATCCGTGTGTATGTATAGTATACCAAGTGCATACATATTTTGGAAAAATTTAATACTTCTTCGCGTTGCCCGAGTCGAATCTATTCGAATCGTTTAACACGCAAAATCAATTTGCAGTTTTTTAATTAAACTTCTGTTTTTCTCCCTTTTTTACCGCCCCTGCCAACCGGGTTTGTTAAACGCTTTATTGCTGGAAGTTCCTTTATTTGCATAGTCCAGACCTGGCTGGAACAGATTTCAAATTGGTTGATTGAAAATGGCGAAAAGTGTTTCGGCCATTCCATAAAATTCATAACCAAAAACTCACATGGCTATGTGGCGGAAAGAAAACACAATATTCGTTATTAATTTGCTCAAATTTCTCTGACTTTATTTATAAAATTCAATCATAACAATTAAAATTCAGTTTTCTTATAGTTTTTAAAGGGGGTTTCCCGTCTCTTGAAATTTTGCTATTAATTTTATACATTTCATATTTGTTTGCCGTGTTTAGAAAACAAATCCGTTCATTAGTTTTCAAATATTAAATACTTAAAAAATAAAATGCGTCTAAATCGAAATAGGTAGTTACATTGTCGTTCAATAATGTGAGTACAATGTTCTTGTATATTAATTTATGTTTATTATTGAATATTATTACCTAATCAATTATGTTTTTGTGTCTGCTTATTTATCATTAATCTTTTGTTTCTTTTATTTGTTTTTTTTTTTTTAGGTCCATTACTAATCAAATTTAGGCATTATCAGTTGGGATATTAATCTTTAGTTTGCTTTAAAAAATATACATATTTTCTTGTTGCTTACAACAAAAATTATGATTTTTAGCTAAATTGTTTTTATTATTTTTTGTTTGGTTTGTAGCTCTTTTTAAAGGGCGATTAGCCAACGATAGACTTTTCAAAAATCAAATGAACAGAATAATTGTTTTATTAATATACAGTATGTTGATTACTTTTTACAAGTTTTACAAATTCCTCTACACTAGTATCATCCACTCGCCCGTGAATGGTCCACATAAATAGATCAATTCTCGTTGCTAAGACTAAAGTGTTGTTTTTTGTTCGCTAAAAATTATACAAAAGGACACAATCAGTTGGAATTGAACTGATTCTAGTAGATGTACGTTTAAAATTCCATGAAGAAGACATTTTGTATGTGTAGATTACAATGTGGGTGCTAAGAGGAGAAGGTGTGGTTTCCTTGACCTCGCGGTGGCGATTTTTGTGGCGGTTGTTGCTGTGGTTGCTGTTGCATTGTGGGCGACATGGTCACTTGGCTGCTATTTAAATTATTCGTTCTGTTTTGGCCATTTGGGGACTTATGATTATTGTTCGAGGTCGTGACTGTGGCAACCCGTCTGAGACGATTGTCCGGTATCGGTGGCGACTGTAATGTTCCCGAATACGGTTGATGCTGCGGCGACAACGAGGATGGTCCACTTCCGCTTCCACCAAAGGCATTCCGAATGTTGCTACTTCCGCCGCCGCCACCACTCAAACCACCCAGACCACTGGCTGATCCACCAAAGATGCTACCATTGCTACTGCCGATCAGACTTAGCGAATGCTCGTTCGAGAGGATCTGATGGGCGGCCAGATTCATTTCTTCGGGCGTCATATCTAAGGCTTCTTGCATTTCGCGGGATGCCATCCCCACGAGCTCGGAGTCACAGTATTTACCCAATCCCTCAGCGGCGAGTACCTAAAATTTGTGATTAGCTAGACCTTCTATTTTTGTTTATTTCTATGACACTTACCCCTCCAATCAATGACTCGGCTAGGCCGTTCATTTCATATGAAGTTGGTAAACGACGCTGATCGTATGGACTAGCTGGGGTCGATTGGATCATGCGTTCGTGGCCAGGAATAGCACCATTGGGTGCGTAGACTGCATGTTTCAAAATTAGATAAAATATTTAAAGAATTCTTTAAAATGTTAAGTTTTGTCAGGTATTACATTTTGGAATAGGTCTTGATGATCCAGAAGCTACTGAACATATTCTTACTGTTTCGTTATTACATTTTTAATAATCCTGGATCATCAACCCTATTTTTTTTTATTCAAATATTAGTTACAGTTAATGATTAGTTAGGCATTCAATATAAGCAATATATACATGACACTTTAATACTCTCATTCTGGTTAATAGCCTTTAATTTACAATGAATGTCGTAGGCAGAACTTAAAATAAATCATAACTTCGATAAGCTAAAGCAAGCAGTTACCGATACAAATTGGTTAAGTATATACTTTTTCTAAGTGGCATAACACTCATACGTATTCTAAAACTAGGCGTTCTATGAACAATGCAAGCGACCCGACTATGTATACGTGTATAGTCTTCAGATGATTGATTGGTGTATTTTTTTCAGTGTAAGTGTATTCACATTTAGTTCAATGTTCGTAACGAAAAGAATATCTGAAACCTGAGGGACCAGCACACAAAAATGAAAATAAAAGCGACGATAATGCGACATTGAAGTACAACGGCAAGTTGGAATATTTAAATAAGAGACAACGTTTAGAGTTTCGGTTGAATATTTGAATTTGGGGTTAGTTTTATACTGGATGTGGTTTATATGGACGCAAGGCACACATTAACACATTTTCGGGGGACAAGGCTCATTAAAGCCAAGGCCAAGGCTTATGAGTAGATGGGCACAACATCACGGTTCGTTTATATAGCATATGTATATATATAATTATTTTATATATATGGAATAGATAGACATTGATATCGGGCTTTGGTTTTGATTTTAATTACGTTCTCTCTTGTTGCTGTTGTTGAGTGTTAAACATTGTTGTTGTTAAAGTTGTTTCTGGTACTTGTAGTTTGTTGTACTTGTTGTAGGTGTTATGTCATTAATCCACTCTCAAACCGTTTTCACAAAATATCATATAATCTGAGCCGACAGCGGATAGGTCAATATATTTCTTCCCATCGGAAACTCAATGAAAACATAACAAAACGAAAACTAAATTTATGGAATGGTTTCCTCAAAGAAAGGAAACCAGATTGTTCTTTTTTTTTGGGACAGTCATCCTGCTAGAATTTTTCAGCACTCGGTGGTCTTTAAACTCGAATCACTTATGCTACAATAAAGATTTTTGTAAGAGAAAGTTATAAAGGCGAATTACTTTAACAGACACAATTGACATGGTTTCATTTTCCGAATTCATCGATAGTTTACTTCCGTTGGTTAGTTTGTAATTTACAAAAGGAGCCAAAGGCACTGTGATTAATGGGATTAATTAGTTATAGCGGGGTATTAATTTTTATTTTCGGAGAACGGAATTGTGTTTAATAGAAGAAGAGTGACCGGGATAGAAAAGTTTCAAGTATCGACAGATAGATCAGCCAATTCAAATGTCAGATGTATACATTGCATCTATGTTTCAAATAAAATAAACTGAGGATATAAATACTTTTGCGGATAATATGTTCCCTTAGCACTTGTACTTTTAGAGGTTAACACGTTACAAAACCTTTTTTGAAATTTTAAAATAAATTTAAAGTATTCCTTTGGTTTTACCTGTTAGAGAGCCCTTTCTGAAAGTAAAATATTCTCGAAAATAAATGCTTATGGATCGAAAGATATGTGTTCATGTGTTTGGCTTGATTTCAACTAAGTGGCAGTGAAAGCATTATAATTTTTAGCTGTACGTTTAAGCTGCACTCCAAATCGACTAATCTACGAATCTGTTCTACTCTAATTTAAATATGTTCTATTAAAGACTGAGTATATGTTTACTACGAATGTTATGAAAACATAATTGTTGCGACTTAATCTCGATTAACAAGCAGCCAGGTAGTCACAATAGTTGTCCGATTAGTTAATGATGTTGCATTTGAATTTAATCTGAATTTTTTGTTTTCAACACTTTGGCATTCCGCAGGCAATAACAAATTTTAGAACGCGGTGAACTAGAGTCTGTACATTATTTTATATTTGCGATATTTTTAATGCAGCAGCTACATAACCGGAGTTTAAACGAAACAAATAAAATGTTAAACAACCAGATATGGAAGTGTTATTTTCTTTTTTTTTTTTTTTGCATTTTTGTTAAAAGTTCAATTTTGAAGTGTGTGTAAACGACAAACGAACCGATTTGCTGAGAATTAATTTTAGAATTTTGTTGCTTAAAAAGGAATAAAACATAAACACATTAAACAAATTGAATAAAGTGTTGTGCATTTTAGTTGTTGCTGTTGTAGTTACTGCTGAAGTTATATGTTACGTTTTGTTTTTAATTTTTATTATTTTTTTTGCAATTTGCAGCATTTTAGGCTTACCATTGTTATATGGATGCAATAAAATACCACGATTGCGGTTGCTGAAATTAATGTTCGGGGATTGAGTAAAAGTTTGGTTTATGTTTGCATTTTTCTCAAAGAGACTTTTGCTGGTTGGTCATTTTTTTCAAATGGGTTTTAATCGGCTAGTTTATGTTGAATCAGGTATGATTTTAAAGGTATTCTGTGATTGCAACTAGAATCGCTAAGTCAACTAATTGAAAACTCGTATTTGTATTTGGGTGGTGCCAAGTCGCTAAAACTCAGCTCCTTTTGTCCATTACAAACTTTAAGGCGCTCTTCACTAGGTGACCAAACAAAATGCCATAAAACAAAAAACGACCATTGTTGGCAATAAGGAATATTGATCAACTCACTAAACAGCAAGCCATAATAACATGTAGTATGGTAATGGAGCGTTGTGTATTCTTTTTTTTTCGTCCTTTTGGCTAAGTGAAAGCCAAAGGATCAACTCCAACTTTGGCCTAATGAATGCGCTCCACTGACGCTCTCCTCCCAACCCCATACTCACTCATAAGATATCGCATTCGCCTCGGGTGGCAGCGTTCCGGCTACCGTAGCCGCAGCCACTCCACCTCCGACCGCACCTCCGTTCTTGGCCAGTGGCCGCATGGAGATGCTTTCGCCAAAGGTCCTCAGTTCTCCGCCACTGCCAGCCACATGAAGCTCGTCCTGCAGCTTGCCGGCCGCTGCCAGGCGGGCCTGCATGATGTTCCGGGTGATGTGGTTGACGCCGTCGGCCACGCTCCGGTTCAGGTTGTCGTACAGGTAGTCTCCGGCCGGATCAGCACTGCCCAGCACCAGGGAGCTTCCACCCACCCCAACTGCTCCTGAGGGGGAACCGCCCAGCGTTAGGGCGCCGTTGCTCTGAGAGGAGGTGGCCTTGGCGCTGCGCCGGAAGGTGCCATTGCCATGCCGGCGGATAGAGGACCAAACACTTCCAAAGAGAGTATGGTGGCGCTGTGAATTCATAAAAAATTAAATATAAATTTTATTTTTGCGTTATTCCAAGGTCCATTTTATACATAAACCAATAAGAGAAACTCACCCGGTGCATGGGCTCTGGTTCCTGGTCCAGTTCATCAAGATTACCAGAAATGGCCCTCTTAAGCGCTGGAGAGACCTCGTGAAGGGTCCGCAGACCGGCCTGCAGAGTGACGGTGTTGCTGTCGGGATGACCCTCCTTGCCCTCTTGCTCCTTGCGCTTTTTGAAGCGCCGGAAATAGTCCTGGATCAGGTAGGTGGCATAAAACTTGCCCACAGTCACCTCGTCATCGTTGCCGGGTGGCGGTACGACCTGGTCCAATAGCTTGGGATTGGTTCTCTTCCAGATCTGTTTGATGGTGGCCCGCAGTTCCGCATTGGCATCATCGATATTGCCATCGGTTTTGATGCTCAGGGAGGTCCGGACCACGGCAAAGAGAGTTGCATTGAAAAGGACAGTGCCGTCGGAGTTGAGTGGCATGTTCATGGACACCAGCCGCTTGCAGGCCATGCGATGGGGACACAGTTTTCCAAAGCCCAGCGGCGGGGATATCTTTCTTAGTAGGGTCACCACATCCAGATGCTTGATGCGACCCTTAGCATCCGGATCGTATTCGCTCCACAGACGAATAAACTCGTCCAGGTGATGGGGTCCCAGGATGGACCAATCTCGCGTCAGGTAGTCAAAGTTGTCCATAATGACGGCAACGAAAAGATTAATAATCTGCAATGTTATTGGAAAAGTATTTATGAAAGTTGAATTTCCAGTATTAGATCATCTTACCAAAAACGAGCAGAGAACGTAGAAGGAAATGAAGTATGGATAAGCAATAGAGGAGCCGCAGAGTTCACCCTTCGAATCAGAACGTGGATCGCACTTTACGTCCGGCTGGGCAGAGCAGGACATCATAATATCCTGCCAGGCTTCTCCGGTGGCCGAACGGAAGAGAACCAGTACCGCCTGCTGAAAGGTCTGGAAGTTATTGTTGCTCGTAATGGCTCCTCCACCATCCAATTCAATTTTTCCAAACACCTGCAAAATATTTTTACAAAATATTGACTTTAATAAAGCTCTATTAGATACTTACTTGCATTCCGACCACCGCGTAGATGAAGAACAAAAGTACAATGAGCAAAGCTACATAAGGCAGGGCCTGAAAGGATTTAATGAAGGTCCAGAGTAAGGTTCGAATGCCTTCGCCTTTGCTTAGGAGCTTAACAAGTCGCATCACACGAAACAGTCGGAAGAAGTTGATGGATATCAAATTTGAACCAGCCTTAAATATTTTAAGAAAATTGTAAGAAGTTATAAAGAATTAATTAATTTATTAAACTTACAGCTTTGGCTCTAGATTTACAACCTTCAACAATATCGCAGGATGCTTGAGAAGTATCTTTGCTCTACAATTTATAAATAAATGTTATTATTTTGTAGATTTTATCTATTCAGTTACAAACCTTAATTTCAGAGTAGACGATATCTATAAAGCTGCCCAAAACAATGATAAAATCAAACACGTTCCAGGCATCTCCAAAATAGTTCTGAAACCACAAAAAACTTAATACAATTTCTACCAATTTTAAAGCATCATACTCACTTTAAATCGAAAAGCGGCCAGTTTAAAGACAAACTCTAATGCAAAAACTGCCGTAAAAATCATATTCAAGGCATCTAAAAGCTCTGTATACCACTGGGGTTGATTGTAAAACTTCATAGCCAGTGTTACAGTGTTTATCATAATTAACACAAAGACTGTATACTCAAAGGATGACGATGTGACAAACCACCAGACTTTATATTGTATACCATGCTTGGGTATATATCGACGTACTGGCTTCGCTTTCAAAGCAAACTCTATGCAGTTGCGCTGATTCTTGTCCAGATCACAATTTTTATATTCCTGTTCACCCTCGTTCTGGAAAGTGACAATAACGAAACCGACGAATATGTTCACCATGAAGAAGGCAATAATGATAATGTAGATTATATAGTAGGCAGCTACGATCGGACGGAAATTGTGTATTGGACCGCCATTCTCCTTATTTGAATCGATTGAAACATATAGCAATCTGGAAGAAGGATTATAATGTAGTTATTACTTGTTCAAGCTCTTAAATTTCAACTTACCCTGGCCAACCCTCAAAGGTGGAGACCGTAAACAGGGTCAACATCCCCTTAGCCACATCGTCGAAATGAAAACCATAATTTTTCCATTCCCGCTCCTTCAAGCGTGGCTTGTGAATATCGCCATCATCATAGACCAAGTATGTGCCACTAGAAAGTATTCCAACTTCAGTAACTGAGTTTAAGAAAATGAGGTATCTACTTACAAGCATTCGTCCTCGGTCATTTTGGAACCATCAGAGCACTTGAAAAACTTTCCCTAAATATTGCATATGGAATGAGGAGGGATCGTAGATGACCGTGATGAATGGAAAACATTATAGATTAGAATAAGGAAGGTGCCATGAGTATTTGTTAGGCATGGCAGCCTCAAGATGAAGTATACTTCGCTTGAGAGTGCCAACTTGAAATCACAATCATTAAAACTGCTTTACTGTACGGACTACTTTCTAAAACCTAGTTATGATATATTATAGAGCAGAATACGATAGACTAGCTCTAAATATATATACGAGTATTATATGCACACATGTACAGGGTGTTTCATAAACAAACACATTTACATCACGCTCGCAAAATATTGGATGGACGAAACGGTATTATTTCTGTTCACGGCACAATATTTACAGACGAAACACCAACGAGGGGTTACTGGGTTGAAAGTACTTAGTAAGTGTGTTAGGTACATAGGATATGCAGATTACAGAATACGGAATATATATTACATGGGGTTAGCGGGGAGCTGGCTAACAATGGTACACTTGCTCTGAGGTTAGTCTAGAGGAGCTAGAAACTGAGCTAAGCCGATTGATAAAACTTGAGCGTATTTTTTTGTTTTCGGTTTACCAAAAATAGTTTGCAAAGCATCTTGAATCAGTTAGAAGGAAAATGGAAAAGAAACGTAACTCAGAATTGGTCTCTTTAGGTCAAGAGATATAGCATTGAAAATAGTTACCTTCGATTTGAAGTACCCGTAAAATAATCCTAACCACATGAAACCCATTTTGAAAAAAATACATCAAAATTCAAAGCACACATATATAATGCAGCATATTTATTATCCTTGATCCTTTAAAAATAGAAGCGCACATTTAAAGCCTTTAAAGTCTAATAATACCCTTTACCAATGACTTTTCAAATATAATTCAAAAGAAATTACCTTAAAGAGTTGTACTCCAATAACAGCAAACATGAATTGCAACAAATATGTCACCAACATGATATTACCAATGGTTTTTATTGCGACTACAACGCACTTGACCACATACTGTTGAAGTTTGAGAATTTGTTTCAGTGTAGGCCAATTGGTTGAATTATGCGAATTTTTTGTAACGTTTAGGTTTAGTGTGTTTGTTTTTTGGTTGTCGCATTTTTTTTAAATTTATTTTTAAATGAAATCAAACGGTTTGGTGTCAATGTTAATATTAAAAAGATTTTTTTTTTGGTTTGCAAAATTCAATTCAAAACAACCGAAGCACGTTCAAGGAGAGAAAAAAAGGAAGAAAATACATTTATAATATTGGGGCATTATTTTGTAAAAAAGGGTTGGTATTTGGTCTTTAAGGTCTAAATATATGAATTGGTTTTGTAGTTTACAAATTTACGAATCATAAAAGAATTCAACTGAAAATCAAACTGAAATATTTGAAATAAAGGGAAATAAAAATAATATAAAATAATAAATCAGGAAAGTTTACATTATCAATATTTTTCCAAATAAGACACTGGAGGGGATTTGTTAACAGGAGGTCCGTAACTCGAGAGGTTCTTTACAAAAAGGATATTATTTTCGGTTGAGACTGGTTAGCCTTGATGCTAGGGTGCAAGGTTGGATTGCTGTTTGAGGAAAAGACCCAAAGTTTATGTGCTGCAGTGTGTGCTTTTGAAATACATAGCATGTAATGTATAATAAATGTGCATGATTGCTTCTGGTTACCTATTATTGTTGGTTTGTTGCATTTAGACGTGGACAAATGCAGAAAATGGGTGTGGAATATATACGAATTGATATTACAATTAATATGTGTAGTGTGTTAAGTCGTGTGAGTTGTGTTAGATTTGTGGCAAAGAACCCAAAATGAAATCAAAATAGGATTCACCCCGATAGTCCCGTCCCATTGGTTTGTAAACAATATTTTTACTAGAACAAGGCTCTTGGCTATAACTGTCATTGGTAAGATTTCCTGAGATTTGTGCTGCGCATTAATAAGCAATACTTGGCAGCAAGAGTTTGTATTATTTACATATCCGTATTAATCACTTGGAAAATAGACTTTAGATTAGTAAAACCAATTGTACAAATTGTTGGATAATAAAAAATGAACAAAACTTCGAAACAAAATTAGTTGATGCAAAAATTTAAACGGAAACGGAAAGTAACTTTAAACATCAATATGTTAGGAGATTTTTTGAAGTTGCATGTGTGTGCACCCAAAAAAAAACAATGTAAAAATTTGTACAAGCTTATATCTGCATTAACTAAACCTATTTTAAGCTGAGTCAACTCTATTTTATGTATTTATAATACCTATAGTTACTTATTATTTAAAAGGAAGCAAGAGTTAAGGTTCCATGCGAAGGTATCTGACTGAGTTTTTAGTATAAACTGGTAGATATTTTAAAGAATAACTTAAAACCCTTTTTAGAAGAGTAAAGGTATTTACAGAAATTTCTTTATGGAATTTGAACGGGTTCTGTTCGATATTTCAGCCTAAACTCTAAGCTAGAAACAAAGCTGAATTGAAACTTAAGAATAAAATCATACCTTAAACAATTGGACTCCTATCACGGCAAACATGAATTGCAGTAGGCATGTGACGAGCACAATATTTCCAATAGTCTTAACTGCGACTATGACACATTGAACAACATGCTGTATGTGAATCGACAATATATAGATATAGTATTGCTTTTATAAAAGATAAAACTAATCATAATTTAATTGATTTTTTGTTTGCTTTTTAACTTATAGTATGTATTTGCGCGTACAGATGGGTGGTCGTGTGTTTTAGTATTATCGGTTATTACATAGGTTTATCTATGCCCAAGCCACGCCCATACATTTCTATTCCACGCCCATTTTCGTTAGGTGTTAAAGCTCAAAATTAGATAGATTACTTTGTCGCTTGTGTGTTGGATAAGACATTTCTTGATTTTGTGGTATATAATAAAATATATTTTTTTTATTTATTTCGGTGCACCCTACACCCAGCATTTCAAGGATTTATTTGGTTGGTCCAAGAAAGAACTTATTTTATGTTATTAAAAAAAGTTTTTGTTTAAGTAATTATAAGTATTGTTTTTGTGCTTTTGTAAAAAAATTATAAAAATCAAAATTAATAAAATCGAAATCAAATAAAAAGTAATTGACCCATTTTTAATTGAAGCATTTGATTTGTGTGAGAGTAAGGAGTTTTGGATGGGTTCTTACCTTGAGACCCTTGGCACGATTAATAGCTCTGAGTGGCCTTAAAACACGGAGCACACGTAGAATTTTCACGACTGAGATCGCATTCGAACTGCAGTTGAAATCGACGTTATTGTTATGTTCAAGATATAATTATTATCGCAACTACTGGGTTAGAGTAGTTATACTGATGTTTGTTTACCTGAACACTAGTGATACCAATGATACGCAGACCACAAGTAAATCTAATAGATTAAATGCGGATCTGCAAAAGGCTCCGTCGTGTAAAACGAAGCCGTATGCAATCAATTTCAGAATCAGTTCTATTGTGAAAACTGCCGTGAAAAAATAATCAAACTTATTGAGAACCTGAAAAATAAATTAATGGTGTAGGACATTGAGTGACATGTGAGTGCTGTTACCATAGCTCATAAATAAACGATTTCCACTCGATTTGAGCTTCCATCTTTAACTTACAAATTTTGTAACCTTTCTGTCCGTTCTCTCGATCGGAACTGGAGCTACTTACTTTGTTCAAATCGTCGTCGGATCTCAATGGATTTTCTGCCGCCAACATAGCCGATGAGAACATGATGCAACATAGGATAATGTTGCCGAAATTGCTGTGGTTGCAAAGCCAATGGCAGAAGACTCGGAATCTGTCGAGGATTAAGTTAGTTAGTTTTTGGAAAACTATGTTTGGATTACAAAAACGAAGAAAAACAAAATTCACAAAACAAGAGTACAGATCAGGCAGTTAGATTTCTCACAAGACACGTTATAAAAGCTAAAACACAGTAACATATAAGAAGCATCTAGGGTTTATATTCTAATCGTGGTTCGACTACTATATTGGGGTTTTCTAAAAACTGACCAAACTAAAAATAAATTCGGATCTTTTTGTTTACTTGGGACAATACACAAAAGTTGGTTAAACAAAAGACAAATACATGATTATTATTTAATTTTTGTAAAAAGGATTTACACAGACGCACAGTGCACACACACATTCACAAAATAGAAGTGTTTTTGGTTCGATTTTCACATTCGTGGAAAATTAAAACTATAATATAAAAACCTGTTCGTTTGTGAGAAAAGAAAAAATGATGTGCCCGGTGGTATGGGTTGAATTTTCGTTGCCGTATTAACCTCGGACATACGTCGGGGTCGTGCTGTAATCATGCCTTCTTCATCCACTATATATGCAATACAAATTTTATCATATATTACGGATATATATGCAAATTGCCAATTTGGAAAAAATAATAAACACATTTATGAGAATTTGACCGAAAACCATTTGTACAATAAATCTACAACTATCTTAAAACTAGACTAATTAAAAAAAACAGTTTCCTTGTTTAAAAATCTAAAAATAAATAGTATCTTACTTATAACCGATCGACCCCTAAAGGCAAAATGCAAAAACCAAAGAGAAATAAAACAAGTTGAAACCATTAAAAGTTTCTATGTGGTTTGGGGTTTCGTTTAAAAACTTAACAAATTATTTATGTACATTTTTGCAATATTACAATATGGATTAGACACAGCTAAGGATAAGAAATTACAGTTTATAATAATTATTTAATTTTTTGTCACATGCTAAACCAGTGTGCAAAATAATGGTAATAATATCAAAAGAAAATAACTCCAATCACAAGACACATAACCATTTATTAAAAGTGAGCGAGAGTGTTTGCGGATTGTCGGTCAGTGATGATTGATTGATTGATTGTTTGATTGAATTACCTGTTTGTATAACTGAAAATGAAAAATGCACTGCCTCGCGGTATGGGCTTTTTAGTCTTCTTCATGCTGACTTCAGATAAACGCCGGGGTCGTGCAGTGGCATGGGCTGATACTTCAGAATGGGAGTCTTTCGATTAATATTAACGAGTGTGATTGTGGTTTCCAAGTAAAATAGGCATCGGCGGCGTGTTTTTTAGGAAATATTTGTTCGTTTTCGATACTTGTTAGTCTTTAGTGGGTCTAAGCATAAGCTAAAATACTTAAGTTTTCAGGCCTTATATTATGTAGAGATCTTAGTCTCGGCTTAGTTTGGTGGTTGGTTAAATATAAATTTCGAATGATACCTTCTTGTTCCTCCTCGCACATTTCACGAACTTCTTCATCGGAAAGGGTTTCATGATCCCTGTAATAGAGTTTTTTGATAAATAAAAGTCTTAGAACTATATGAGTGAGTTTTACATCTTCTCCTCGTCATCCAACTCATGAGGTTCCATGTCTATATCGATGCTCAGATGATCTTCGCCATCAATTGTTGGAGTGGGACTATGGGACTTCTTGAAAGCTGAGTCATCATGCTAGGAATGATATAATTAAGTTTCTTGAAAATCGGTTTTCTTTAAGGAATAGTCCACTTACTGGTTCCTCATCCTTTTCCACCTCCTCCGATAGGGAGTCGGCATCAGCCAAATTATCCACAGCAATGGCCAAGAACACGTTCAACAGAATGTAATTACCACAAATGAACAAAATTATAAAGTAAATACAGGCCAGGGCCCCGTAAGAAGACACTCCACCATAGGCATTGATGCCGGTATACATCACAGCATTCCAATCCTCACCAGTCATGATCTGGACACCATAGTTTTAGTTTGAATTGAATTCTTTTAGGTAAACCTTAATACCAACCTGAAAGACTGTGAGCAAAGCCTGCCAAAAGCAGTCAAAGTTCATCCTATACTTCTCCTCTTTGCCGTCAAAATTAAATTTTCCGCCGAAGACTTGCATGCCCAGTAGAGCAAATATCACAATAAACAGGAAGAGCAGTAACAGAAGCGAAGCAATTGATTGTATAGAGTTCAAAAGGGAAGCAACGAGATTGGAAAGAGACCTCCAGTATCTAAAAAAAAGAGTTTTTAATGGGAAATCCTTCACAGACTCGTATTTTAACTTACTTGGTCACTTTGAAGACACGGAGAAGACGCACACAACGCAGCACAGAAACACCCAAAGGCGGCATCATTCCTGTATTGGTCAAAAGTGTTTCGGAAATACTACCAATCACCACAAAACAATCAAAGCGATTGAACAGGGATACAAAGTAGCCCTGAAAGCCCAGACTGTACATTTTCAGTAACATTTCACAGGTGAAGAGACCGATGAAGACCACGTTCGTGTATTCTGAGGGATTGAAAACATTAAAAAGATCGAATTCAAGAACTTGTTTGATTATTTTCAAAAGCTCACCTTGAAAATTGTCCAACCAATCCACCTGCCTGTAGTGCTCTGTGGCCAAGACGCCGGTGTTGAGGAAAACCAGGACAATAATAAGCCAATAGAAGGCCTGAGACTTGACGGCTTTGCGACAGGCTCGCCGCATCCTGCGGTTAACCCGATCGAAGTCTTTTTTCATTTTTCGCCATCGCGACTCAGTCAGCTGGACCTCGGGCATCTCTTCGCCCAGATTCTCGGTCGAGTCCATTTCATTCATTTGCTTGACCTTCCCATCGGGTATCAGACCACCCACAGCATCGGGTTCTATGTCCTCGGCCTGGGTTATCCAGTCGAGATAGCCCCGCAGGTCCTCTTCGATCTGTTGCTTCTCGCGCAGCTTTTGGAAGTCGCCGCGATTCTTGGCCTTGTTACGCTCCTTGGAGAACTCACCGGACAACACACCGAGAATCAGATTCATCACAAAAAAGGCACCCAGGATGACCATCGAAATAAAGTACATCCACTGCCAGTCGCTGCCCATGGAATCTTGAATCTGAGCAGTGAAAAGTTTGAGAGATGTTAGTGGTTTTGGATAAGGGATTTAAAAATGTATATATTTAAAAAAAAAATCTGCACAAAGAGAAAATTAACTGATTAATATTTACAAATTTAAAAAATATAATTTAAAGAATTCTTTTAGAAAGTACCGGGCTTAAGCAGTACTTACGTTATAGAGCACATCAGTCCAGCCCTCTAGGGTGACGCACTGGAACACCGTCAACATGGCCAGGCCGAAGTTGTCGAAGTTCGTGATGCCGTCATTGGGTCCCTCCCAGCCGCCGTAGCACTTCATGCCCTCCGGGCAGGCACGGCCCACACCACAAGGCCGAATTTCATCCTCATATTCACCTAGATCCCGGTTCGTTTGGATTGGTTTTGTTTAGGTTTGTGCATTTGAATGAAGGTTTGGAATGAAATGTAATGGATGTGAGATGATATTGTTGGGATACGGTTTCTGTTTTAGGGAATGCCATTTGGGTTTCTTATGAGTTTCAGTGTTCAATTGTCATTGCGGAATATGCCGCATCTTTGGCATATTTGACTTGTCCCAAACAATAGTTTCAATAGGTTTATTTACTAACAGATTAGTCGGAAATGGAGGCGTTTCTTATCTGTTTTAGGTGTTTAGAAATTGTAGTGTAAATTTAATTGAATATTTTGTATATTTTTATTTTTTCTTCTGGACAACAGCTACACCACAAGGAGGCTGAAACGGACCCACCCACTGGACCTCTGCCACTCGGGCGAACGGGACTGAGCTGCAGTTGAAAAACTAACAAGGCCCACTAAAGGGCCCGACAATAATTAACTTGAATTCTATCGCTAAGGTCTACTGTTAAAATTAGTTTCCTAGGATAAGCAAACATTGTACTACTCAATATTTCATTAAGTTAAGGTCCCATTATACAATTTAATTATTGTCCATAACTTCGGACAGATTTTAAATATAACTATTGATTGATTGATAAAAAAAAAAAAAAAATTTTGTAGCCTCCAAATTCCAGTGGGCCTAATCTGGTAGTTATAGAACCATTGGACTTTGATTTTTTAATGCGACATATCTGGTGGCATTCAAGACATTGAATGATATTCGCACAACGTATAAATATTGTACGATTCGATGGGGCGAGAATCTCCGCTTACCTGTGATTTCATCGCGACACGCCTTGTGCAACTTGCCCGAGAAGAGCTCTAGGCCGATGATCGCATAGATAATGATTACGAATATGACCAGGAGTGCAATGTGAAACAGTGGCACCATGGCCTTTAAAATTGAATTAAGCACAACCTGTAGACCTGTAGAATAGCGTTATGAAAAGCCAGTAATCGATTGGATTTGGGTTCTTGGGGTGCTTAGTTTGTTTAGCAGGAAAATAACTAGTGCGAACATTAAATGCAAGGGAAATACGGCACAGATGTACAGGATATCTTTCATCTATACATATTAAATTGTAATATTAACATTTAGACACATCATTTACCCCATAAAAGTCCGCCCTTATTATCAAACTTTATACATTTCTGTGCAGCATTTAACTACGAACCATTCCGCAGTTTTTTCTAGATTTTTTTTTTTAACATTCAGGGCTAGTAAATTTTGTAGCTTTAGTGAAATTTTGATGGTGCAAAGAAGCGCTTACTTGGTACACCCGATACAAGTCGCAGTGGACGCAGCACTCGAAAGGCACGGAGGGCCTTCACATCGAAGGCATCCTTCATCAAATGAGAAAGTGCTGTACTTATTGCTCTGAAAAAGTGTATGGCATACAAAGTTTATACGTGTCTTAGTTTCGACCTCTATACATATTTGTTTCATAATTTTCATCGCTATTTTTTCTTTTTTTTTTATCCGATTTGGGTAAATTTTGATTGAATTGGATATAAGGTAACATAGAAAATGGTTAAAACGAGGCCGGGGATGGGCCTGGGCGCTAAGCGCTTTTAACTGGAATATTTTGTATGCTTACCCTATAACTACAATTGTAAAATCTAATAAATTCCATCCATTTCTTAGATATGCACCATTATGTAACATAAAACCATATGCTAAAATTTTCATAACACATTCCGCTGTGAATATAACTAGGAATATATATTCAACTTTTTCCTGTTTGGTTTTGTTTTTTTTTTTTTTTGGTTTTGGAGTTTTTGTTTTGGGAGTGCGTGTATTTCGGTTTCGGATTGTTTTCAGGATTCGAATCGATGATGAGTTTATGAATTTAATGGATGCACAGTGCAGATGCGGATGAAGTGGATATAAGAGATACATGAAAGAAATTCAAATTCATTAGTAAATCATGGATAAGATTTCAACTCAATAAACCCATTAGTTTGGGCAACAAAAGTACTTACCAAGGTTTGATTCGTAACATTCGAATCGCTGCCTGGATAAGGCGTATAAACGGCCAAGGCAATACAATTGGCAAATATGGTTAACAAAATAAGGAACTCAAATGGTCTAGAAAGTAAAAGCAGTTAGGGAAAGCCATGGAAATTTTTTATGGTGTTTAAATTATATTCAAAACATGACAAACTGACCTACTGCAAAGCCCATATATTTTTCAATATTTATTCCAATCAAAGGCCCAATATCCTAAACCTTATTCTATAAAATTCCATTAAAACCTAATATAGTATATTTTAGGTCCAATTTTTTTAAGGATACCCTTCAAAAGTTAGGAAAATGTATGTGACCCAAACGAAGGCCATATCTTTCCGAATAATGATCCACTTTATAAGCAGAATACCTTAAATGATTTGTATATCAAATCTCTATCAACTTCTACCAAAACCTAAAAACAAAATATTTTTTAGATTTTTTGTCAATTTTCCTTTAGGATCCCCTTTAAAAACGGGGAAAGTGCATGAAGGCACAATATGGCCCACAGCGATGGCTATATCTTTGCCAATATTCATCCGATTATTAAGCGGAATACCTTAAACGATTTCTGGACCGATTCTCTTTCAATCTGCATCAAAATCTAAGAACAAAATATTTTTTAGATTTTTTGTCAAAATTCCTTTAGGATCCCCTTCAAAAACGGGGAAAGTGCATGGAGGCATAATATGGCCCCCAGCCATGGCTATATCTTTGAAAATAGTCAACCGATTATTAAGCGGAATACCTTAAATGATTTCTGGACCGATTCTCTTGCAATCTGCATCAAAATCTAAGAAAAAAATAATTCCTAGATTTTTTGTCAAATTTCCTGTATGATCCTCTTTAAAAATGGGGAAAGTGCCCAAAATGTTCCCTAATGGCTGTATCTATATAAAAATTGATCTGATTTGGGATCGGAATACCTTACACTTTTTGTAAATTGATTATCTAGTAAGTTCTATTTAAATCTACAAGCAAATCGGCATATTTTTTTTTTGTTCAAAAGGATACTTCCACTCCACGATGCGAATGCAAAGGGCTCGCAAAGGGTTCTTGACGGTCAGGCAGAAAAGGGCTCGCTGTGGACGATCCGGTTGCGGCTTGCCCCGCCGTTGGGGCCGTTTCTGACCGGCGGCACCAGGGGCGGCTTTTTGGCCACCCGCACCGCTGGGTCCAATGGTGGTGCCGTTCATGGTCTCCGGAATGTTTGCAATGCCCATGGAGTCGATGCCTAGAGAGCGGGATCGCAAAGGTGTTAGTGGAGCAAGAGACTGTTAGTTTGGAGCATAAAGCACTTACCCATTATGTTGTTGCCGCCGCCTAACTCCGCCTCGCCGCCATCGTACCGGGCCGAGTTTTCACCGCTGCCGGGTCCATTGCCCCCTGGCGAGAAACTGCCACCGCCGGAGGCTCCTCGCTCAAAGTCCATTATGTTGAAAAACTTGCCCGCGCCGCCGCCAAAATTATCTATCAACTCTGCCGAGCTGGAGTAGAAGGGTGAGAAGGCCTGAGTGTCGTCCTCTTCCTCCTCAAAGTACTCGTCCACGTCCTCGTCGTCCTCGGGGTCCTCGTCCTGGTCTGGATGGCCCTGTTCATCAATGTCTATGGTGGTGCCCTCGGGCTCCTCGTCGTCGTCGCCCTGCTGGTCCTGATCGTCTTCGTAGAACTCGTCGTCGTCCTCTTCGGTAATCCTACATGTCCTCCTGATCGAGGGTCGGTTGCGCGAATTCTTTCTCACTACAACATCGGCATTGTCATCGACCTCGCCGACGTCCTCGAGTGAGTCGTTGTTCCCGCCGCTTTCCTGGATGATCCGGACGCCCTCATCGGCATCCTGCCGTCGCTCGCTAAAGCTCTCGCAGTCGGTGGCCGCTGCCCCCAGCGACAGGGACTGATCCTGCTGGTCCTGTTGCTCCTTGGCCGCTGCCGCAACTGCCGCTACAATGGCTGCGGTGCGCAGAGTCTGTGAACTGAGATCTGGGTGGTTAGCGTCGTCCTCGTCCTCCTCGCACTCGTCGTCTCCGATGAAGCTGCTGACGTCACCGACCCCGAAACCATGCAACGTACTATTGTCGCCGGTGATGTCGCAATTGCAACTATTGCTGCTGCTGCTGTCGCCGCCAACGGCACTGTAGCTGCTATCGTCGTCGCGTCCTCCCCCGCTGCTAAAGCTGCTGTTGGTGCTGCCGGCACTGGTCACACTATTCTGTGGTTGCAGCTGCCACGCCTCCTCGGGCGTTAGCCTGGGTCCCGGTGCACTAATGCCACCGCCCCCGCAACTCGTACAACTCGACTTGCGTCGCCGACTTCCGCCGTTCGAAGGACCCGCCGACTGGCCCGGACTGGTGCCCGACCCGGAAACAGGCCCGGATCCGGAGGCTATTCCCGCCGCCGGGTCACTTGCCCCGTTGTTGCTCCTGCGGCGGCGCTGTTTTAAGTCAAGCTTGTAGGTGGCGTTGTTTACAATCTGACTAGTGACGTTGCTGAGGGCGAGCTCGGTGCTGGTGGGTCGTCTCCTCGAGGTGGTGGCCTGGCCGGCGTCCTCTGACTGGTCGAGGGCACTGCAACTGTGGGTGGGCAGAGAGAAGGGCATTGTTAAACTTTCATATTTCCAGATGCACATGCCATCAATCATTTACGCTACGACTACAAGGTTCAAGGTTGGCATTTAGAATTGCGGATTTCTGGTTTGTTTCTGGTTTTGGCATAAATGTGTTCATGTACTTAATATTTTATTTAAACAATATGTGTATACTTCGAAGGATCATTACTCATACGACATGTAGCCCCAAAAACTACCTTCAAATTTTAAAATTTGTTTTGTCGTAAAAACTATGGCATGTTTCTTTAAAACAAAAAAGTTTAGAAAGTCTTTGTAAACAAATTTTGTGAATTTCTCTGAACATATATAAACACATTCCTCTTTTTATGGCACATCCATCATATGCGATGTAGGCTTTGAAACACGAAGCAGATATTATATAAAGTTCTTGTATATATTCCCTCGCTTATCCCATAAAAGAAGGGAGAAACCTATTGTCTGAAAATTACACATTTATTTGGATTTGCATGCGACTTAACTCTCACATCAAGACAGTCTGACAGACAGGGCACACAAACAATAGGCGACGCACACAGGACAATGGACAACAACATTGAGGCACGATAGGAATACGATATTCAGTTTTGGGGTATAAATGTATCTGGAGCTGACTTACTATGCCCTAGAGCTCCTAGATTGTTCCATATAATCAAACTCTTGCATTGCTTGAAAAATGTATTTCTTTTCGTGCTCCAGTTGGAGCTGCAAGTACCTTTGTTGCAGGACCGTTCCTGTTCCCGTTCCCGTGCCTGATCCCGATACCGATCCCAGTCCTGAACCCAATACCGCTCCGGTTGGAGAAGCGCCCGCCGATGCCGATGTGGTCAGTGGTGTCGTGGGCACTGGAAGCGTTATCGTCGGTGACCGGTGCTGGTGATGGTGTTCCGGCCTGACCATGACCACCTCCAAATCGCTCTTGGCTGCCGAGGATTTGCGGTTGTACTTCCGACTGCCACGCGTCGGGGTGTCCGCCTTCAGATAGCGTCGCGAGGAGGCGGGGGATGTGGGCGAGGGCTTGCGCTCGATAACCAGGGTGTTGTCATCGTAGGCTATACAATTCACCAGCTCCCCGCCCCCCTTCACACTCTGGGTGGAGCCGGAGCCGGGGGCTGGGGGCGGGGCGGAGGATGAGGACGAGGCTGTTGCCTCATCTCCACGGTCATAAAGCGTGGCCTCCTTTTGTCTCTGGAATTGCAATTGGCGGCGTCGTTGCGAGGAGGAGGTGCCACCTCTTGGCATGATGCTCGAGCTCGGCTCGATGCCGGTCGGTGATTTCTGGCTCTTCACAGGGCATGATTCATCGATGATGACAACACTGGCGGGCAACAACGACGAATCCCTGCTCGCTTCCCGATTCCTATCGCTAGATTTATCCTTATCCTTATCGTTATTGTATTTACGATTTAATTTATTATTCGAACTAGAATTGTCCAAGGCATCATATCTATTAATTGGTTGCTGTTGCTGTTGTTGGTCTGGATGCTGCGGCAATTGTTGCTGCTGCTGCGGCTGTTGCTGTATTTGTTGCGTTTGTTGCTGTTGTTGAGAGGCTTTCTCTTTATGGTCTCCTGATCGATAAATTATTATAGTTGGCGTGAAAAGAGGATAATTAATTAGCTCTGTATGACAGGCCCTTAATGTGCCACAAGATGTGGCGTGCTGAGCAAAATCATAACTTTTGATTGAAGTAAACAATAAGGGAAAATGACTAACAAAAATGTCAGGATTCAAAATGATGACATAACTTTCCTAACTTCCAACAAAGTATTCTTCTAAAAATAATAAACTAAATAGCGAAATGAATGTGCTGTATGTACCCTCCACCACCTTGTACCTGTATTCATATTTGAAGTTTCCTTCGGTCGCTCAATATTGATTTGCCTGTCATTCAAAATGCACTTTTCAGAACGCCTCTTGGTGGAGAAAGGTCCCTGCCAAATGGCCGATACGAAACACGCGGTCAGCAAGGCGGCCAAATCGGAAGCATTGCGGCAACAGGTGTGCTTGGTCTCATTCACACACACCCCCACATGTACCGACGATTACTTTCAGGGTGAGCATGGGTTTCTAATACGCATAAAAGCTTCTATTTTCCGGAAAAATTTGTAGAAATATTTCGGTGGTGCTTAATATATTTTTTGTATATTCTTTTGGTTTAGTTGTTTTTTTGGACGATTTTAAAGCGACGGTTTGAAAAATTTGGCAATTGTATTAAGTCTGCGTTAGGCATTCAGTTGAGTTTTTGAAGTTGAGATCTAAAGTACCCGAGCTTGAATTAATCCTTTTGAAAGTTTTGTTATTTTAGCGCACACTTTATTGGAATTAGATTAATTCCAGTTGAGTGAATGACCAAAATTTCCCATTAGAGATAATAAATTATCATTGATTATCATTTTCTATATATAACCCAGGTGGCGCATGTGTGTGTGGTGAGCATCAAAATAGAAAGGAAAAACAATCCCAATGTTTACGTTTTACCTTTGTTGTCGCAACAACATTTTTGGGACACAAACTGTCAAATGGCCAATCAACTTTGGTCGAGAGGACGAGAGAGCCTTTCTCTCCTCGCTTTCTCTCCGCTAAGCTTTGTTTGCAGCGAAAGCTTTTTGCAGCAAACAAAATAAGACTTTCTTCGAAAGTGCCAAAAAAGCGATAAAATACTATTTCTCGTTTTATTTTGTTGCCCAAATCGGGGGGGTTACGGGGAGTGAGTGTTTTTTTCGGTTGTGTGTTGGGCTGTAGTCCCCGTCATCCCGACCCAATCCGTCACTGATTAATGTGACTAAATGTCAGGAACACAGTCGTACATAAGTTCCAGGAATGTGCCAGAATACCCACGGCAACGAAATGAGGTCAAGTGCGCGCTTTCGGCACTAAAAATTCATTTGCTCATTGGCTTTTAATGGCACGCTTGGGAAATTCAATGAGCATACTTTTGTGCGCTGACTATCCTGGCGATTACATTTACCTACTGTATTCTGTCTGAGCAGTAACCTCTTGGCCACGCTAAAAGGTCCTAACTGACCGATTGACCTACCCACGTAAATGTAATACCCCGCACACACATGCACACCCCAGTCGTGGAAGCACCAACACATATGAATATGTGAAAAATTTCAAACGCGCACTGCGAAGAAAGTGAAAGCGATTTTCCATTTCCCAGCAGTTTCCGCGTATTCCTATTCGATTCCTACTTGGTCTGCAATCATCCTTGGACATTACACTCTGCGTTCTATATTATTTTGTATGGATTATATTTTCCTGGGCCACTTTATATGTTGTATTTTATTTTTTTTTCACACGCGACCAGCAGCAACGCGAACGAGTTTAAGGAATCAGCAACAAAAGCACACTGTGCAGGAAAATACAGCTTTTCAGAAAGGCAACTACGAAAATGTTGACGTTTACCAAAGCCAAGGCTTTCAGGAAAAGCTTACATTTTTGAGCTTGCTTATCTTTATAAAGGTTTTGGAATCGGATGGAACATATATTTTTGAAGTTGAACGAGCTTTCTAAATAAAGTTTCATTATTAATAAACAAATTTGTAACACAAGGACTCTTTTATTACAATTTCCAGAATCCAAATCTATCTTTAAGGGTATATTTTTAAAGAAATGTAGCACATAAGAAGAAACGTAGAAGAATGTAGCACTTTAGCTTTATAAAACTAGTAAACATATTTTATTTTAAAATTTAAATTTATTAGAAAAACATACCCAAAGTTAGGAGTACATTTTTCAGCCGATCACTTAACACTTGAATTTCAAAAATGATATACAGCTCATTGTATAGGTACCTATACCTAAACAAAAATGTAACTAAATGCACAACCATTGAATTTATTTCATAAACACTACATGAATTCAATACAAAGACAGGGAAACCCCAGTGATATTTCTCAGTTTAAGAAATGCATCCGTTTTGTTTACAAACAAACCGAATACTAAAATGTGCCGAAGAATGAAAAGCAGGAACCGAGCATTATTTTATTTCACCTATTTGTATGTTTGTGGTCTTTTTTGTTTTCGCCCTCAGTGGCTATAGATATTTTTATCAGAAGCTGCCCCAACTTTTATGAATAGATCGCGAGAGATTTCCCGAGTTTTCCGAGTTTTTTGTATCTTTCTCCCACTCGCACTCACATTTGTTGTCAAGCAGCTGATGTTGGTGAACGCATGCGTTCTGGGATTTTGACAGTTGGGGAGAGCTTCTGTCAATTCTTTCAGAGAGTAAGGCCAGAGAGCAAATGTCAAAAATTAAAAACAGACTTTTTCCGGGCAATACTGGTCCCCCTTTTCCCACCCACCGGACTGAACTTCACTTACACGGCGATTGTCTGACTCATTGCAAAATTTTTTCTGACGCTCGGCTGTATATCATAATGTTTAATACCATTTCATTTTTCGATGGGCGTGTTTCTTGTCGGGATATTTTGGCTAACGATATACAAATATACATATATCCGGTGCGAAGTGGCAAAGTGATTTGTTGGAATTTTCAAACACGCTGTGAAAATATATGTGTTCAAATTGTCGTATAATTAGGAAAACTTTTAGTCAACTAATTTGTTTTGTTTCCACCTAAATGTTTTTTTTAAAACGATATTATGATGTTTTGGAGTTCAGTTGCTCGTGCCTTTTATGATTTGTTTACTTCCAGCTTATAAACAAATAGTAAAAAATATTTAAGAATATGGTGATCGCTTCGATCTTGTTTTTAGACTCCTAATTAAAGTCATTAAAATGTTCATGATTTTTAATGAAGGCCGAAACTACAATGTATGCGAATTTTTATTTTATTTGACTTCAAGTGAATTATGACCCTTTTTTTCTTTGTTTAGAATCAGTCAGAGAATATTGGACGGCGAATCTGAAGAGGATGAGAAAAGTGTATCTTCGGTATTCGGTAATTTTCTTTTGGGCCAGAAGACGTTTTTGCCCCATCTATATTTGGATCAAGCACACGTAGTTGGATCTGTCAATGCGGCAATGTTGTTTCTTTTGTGGCCTCATCTCGGGAGAGAAACAACAAAAATTGTTGCCGAACATAAAAATATATTAATTCCACTTTAAATGCTTTTTTTGGGTAAATCAAAAATTCCTGAATTCGGCAATACCGAATTATATAGAACAATGCAAAAGTTTGAAACAACATGGAACACTTTAATTGCTATTTTTAAACAGCTATATTGGTGCATATAGTGTATACTCTTGATCTAGTTAATTGCGGGGCCTGCTTGTTGAACATTTCACTTACAAGATGATCCGTCGGTGCCTCCCTCGCGTGGCAACAATAAAAACACGCTGCGATTTTTATTTGTTGAGGGGCAGTCGTGCGTACCAACAATCCGAGCCAAGAAGGCAAAGGCAGCATACGTGGCGTTGATATTTTTAAACTTTTTGGGAGATATTTCTCATTCGCTTAGTATATATTTTGTTTCGCTTAAGAAGATTTCTTTTTCTTTTCACTGATCAGATCTATGAACTAGTTACTATTGTTTTAAGGCTGTTGATTTATTTAATTGTATTATTTTAGGCACCTAATTCCTTCTGTTATTTATATATATTTTAGCTGCTCGCATTGTGCCAGTTTAATATGCATTATAGATTTTTCTCACGCAATATAGATATATATATATTCTATATGTATGCTGTTTCACTTTTTTTTAATTTTTCACTTATTTTCTTTGGAATATTTAATATTTCACTTATGCAGATTGCTTTAAACGATCGAAAATGTATAAAATTGACACTAAAATCGGTAAAACCACGGATCTTTTTAGATTTTTCTTCGCAGAAAAAAAACTATTTTCTGCGGTTAGCTTAAAAATAAATCTGAACACACACGGGCGCGTTGCGCGATGTTTGGCAGCGCGGGTCCGACCCAAACCAAATCACGCGAACGATCAGCCGAGAACTGTCAGATTGGTGAACGGCCTGTATTTTCCCTCGCCTGTTGGTGAACGAAAGCTGCGGTATTTTTCCGAAACTGTGGCGGGAAAATTTAGGAAATTATTTTGGGTATTTTTTGGATATTGGGCCCCCTCAATTTAATATAATATTAAAAATATTAACACTTTAAACTCATTAACACCTAATGAGATGTTTTTTATCTTGATTTTGACTAGTGAGTCACCTAATGAGATGTTTTTTATCTTGATTTTGACTCACTAGTCAAAATCAAGATAAAAAACATCTCATTAGGTCTTTAAAAATATTACTCATACGTAGTGGTGGCCAAACGCAGATACTGACAGCAAGAGGTTACAAGATTATGGTTTAGCTTAATTATTTCAAGACTTAAGAGTGCATAAAAGTTATAAAAAATATTTATCTTCCGATTCAGAATACAGTGCGTATGAGTATTATTTTTAATTAAATACTTAAAAGGCTTGAACTTTAACTTAACAAAACAATACTGCAAAACATATACACATTTACCAAGTAACCCAAAACAGAGCCATTATATGTTAGTTACAAAACACATAAACAGGATTACAAATCCAAACAAACAGGAACAATATTTAAACGTATGATTATGTCGGCAAAACCCTGAAAAGTGTAACTACAACTGTAACTTTTGGCTGTATGCGTTTGGCACACGTAGCATATTTTCATGAGGGAAAATTGTAAGCAAAACTCCGCCAACAGGAAGAGGAATATCCTTCCCTGCTGCAGGATAAGGTAGGATGTGGCGAGAATTCCTTTTGCCGTACATTTGTTTGCATATAATGGCAAAGTGAATTAAATTTTATAAGGTAAACCGCCTTATTTCCCTATATACATGTAATTCGTTCGTTAAAAGATTGCTTATTTAAAAAAATATTTATAATAAAATTATAAAAAAATGTATGTTGAAAAGTTTTTGTTCTAAACAAAATTCTGAGTATCTTTCTTAATTCCATAATATCAAAAAATTGTTAACACATGTTCGAGTTTTCAAGTATACCATTTCCGTTGAGTTTAAGTAACATTATTTGAGAGATACTTGGTGGCTCAACGTAGCGTATGCACGTTATTAAGTTGCGAGGCTAATTAAAAGTTTTTTTTACTGCTTGTTATCAGGAATTTTTCGCCAGTAAAAACATATTCAAAATGCGTTCTGTAGCATGGCCAGAGACCTTCTGAAGCCCCTCCACCCACCACCAAAAAGTCGCAATTGGTAAGATAATTGCGTTAAAATAACTGTGAGAGATTTTCGGGGATCCTTGTCCGGGAGGACTTCATTATAAGTTTCCGTCTGGGGCAGTAGGAGCCCAACCAAGCAAATAACTGGCCAACTACATTTCCTATCTCTCACTGCAGGACGAACAAGCAACAAAATGTTAAAGTTGATAATTTTCTGGACATTTTAACTGTAAAGTGACATTTCATACTTTTGCGACCTTTCTGGTTTTCTGAGGCCATCGTCGAGGGTAGTTGGGGGAACAATATACATAAACGTTACTGCAGCAAGGACGACCATTCGCCAACTCACAGGACACTCGATAAAGTTGCGCAAAAGTCAAATCTCCAAGGAAATTAATTTGTGTTGCAATGTGAAAATTGTGTTGAAAATGAGGATTTTACTGTGTTTACTTCGTTTTAATGTAAAAACACTCAAATCTCAAACGGGACGCTCTGTAAATCCAACTACAAGAGAAGCTCGGACTCATAAAAATGTCTTTAGAGATATTTAAGTACAGTTCACTGAATTTTCAGTAATAAATTGAAAGTGGCTTAATTACATTCGCATCACCACAATGACAGTTTTCATTTTGCAGTAATTTATTTCAACTCAGCTTAACATTTTATTGGCTCAAATTTTCGGTCGCCCATATTAATCGTTTCTTACAGCTTTATATGGTAATTCCTTTTTAATATCGCCAAGCGGTTTTCATATTGCCCTCAATCCTTTGCTTTACATATTTGCTCTTCAATATTGCTTTTAAAGACACCAGCAATGGGCTGAAGGAAAAAAAATATAAAAGTAATGGAAATGTTTCAGTGTTTCAGCAATTGTATGTTTTTGTTTTTTCAAAAGGGATTGGAATGGAATCATTTAGGGGAAGAGGAGAGCACTACCTTGGAGACAGACAAAAGGGTAGGCACTCAGACAGCAAAGATATTCTAAGGCTTTTGTTCATTTCATGGGCAGACGGATTTTAGATTATGTTTAAATGAAATGATAAAACTAGTCTTTACAAACTCTTGTGAAATAAAAGCTTTAACGTATTTTTAATAAAAATTCTTTTTGTCACTTTAAAAAAAGAGTTGTATTGACTTTAGTAGGATAAAGCATTATCATTGAAAATCTCTCCCCATGTTGCGACTTGGACATTTTTTTGTTGCGCCTCAGGAT